TCTTACACTTCCAGGTTTGTCTGTCAGACTCCTTCTGGGACAGTGAAGCCAAAACTTACATAAGTTTTAAAGAAACCATTGTCATACAAATAGAATGCTCTAAGTGGAAGAGAATGTAAAATGGTAAAAACAGTCACATTCTTCTATGATGCCTCTTCTAGAAGTAGTCAGTCCTGGCTATTCTAGGACCTGGGCAGCAAAGAGTCCTTTTGCCCATATTTCCTTTTTTTTCTCCACCTAGAACCACTGATTTTTCTTCTCTGGATTTGCCTATTCTGGACATCTCATATAAGTAGAGGCAGATCATATATGAACTATTGTGTCTGATTCATTCAACATGTTCTAGTGTCTATGCTTTGTTTCCTGACTGGACTTGCTTCCATTGGTGGGTGGATCGTGTCTTTGCATTTGTCTTTTGTTAGTCACTGGGGTCTGTTACCACTTGGAGGCTGTTGAGAATAATGGTATAGACACATACACATTTTGGCATGGACCTGGGTTTTCCTTTTTCATGGTCAGATACAAAGAAGCAGGCTTACTGGGTCACATAGTAGAAGAGACTCTCTCCCCTTCGGCTGAGCCAGCATGGTATAAACTACACTTGTGCTGGGACACCCAAGTAGCCATGTAGTGGAGACACCTTTGAAGCTGGCCCCTGGGAAGGGAACTATGGCTGGAGTAGCCTTGGCTTGGCTTTCAGGCCTCCATCACGTGGTGGAGTGCTGTCCAGGAGTGAGTATTGGGCCCAGGGACTTCTCAGGAAAGAGACTGGGTTTGCTTCAGGGTAACTCCAGGAAGAATGAGGTCCTAATCACACCCTTGGTAATGACCCACTGCCTCTAGCCTAAGAGTAGAACCCAGAGAGCTCTGATGAGGGAAGGGACCCTGATTGCAGTGTTGGAGCAAATGTGGACACTCAGGGCCTTTGTGTGTATGCAATGTGGCTATGATGGAGGAAGTCCTGGTCACTCCTTGTCCAGACCTACCCTGCTGAGTCTCAAGCTTGTTCTTAACAACGTACAGCCCTGTTCCTGCCCCTGCTATTAAGAAACTGAAGACTCTTGGGAGCAACAGGGGCCAGAGCTCAGCCTGAGGCTGCTCTCAACAACACCCCTGCCCATCTTGTCCACAGGGAGCTGGAGGAGCAGCATGGCATCCATTGCAACATGACGCTGCTTTTCTCCTTCGCCCAGGCTGTGGCCTGTGCTGAGGCGGGTGTGACGCTCATCTCTCCCTTTGTGGGGCGCATCCTTGACTGGCATGTGGCAAACACAGACAAGAAGTCCTATGAACCCCAGGAGGACCCTGGTGAGCTACCTTTTTAAGATCACAGGGGCAGGGGATCTACTGTGTTGACAAGCAGGGCTGGAGGACCAGGTCATGGTGGGATCATACAGCAGCTCTGGGTGCCTCTAGGGCCATCCTAGAACATGCCTATATTTCCTCCAGGGGTAAAGAGTGTCACCAAAATCTACAACTACTACAAGAAGTTTGGCTATAAAACCATTGTCATGGGCGCCTCCTTCCGTAACACTGGTGAGATCAAAGCACTGGCAGGCTGCGATTTCCTCACCATCTCACCCAAGCTCCTGGGGGAGCTGCTCAAGGATAACACCAAGTTGGCACCTGTGCTTTCCATCAAAGCGGGTAAGGCCAAGGGGCCCAATAAGGACCTCTGTGTGGGCGGAGCTAAGGCCTGACCCTGATGGGAGAAACTCAGCCTAGGCTGAGGGACAGTTATGAGTCGAAGGGTAAGGCAGGCATGGAGAGCTGTGGTATCCCCCAGCCCAGACCAGTGACTTGGAGAAGATACATCTGGACGAGAAGGCCTTCCGTTGGCTGCACAATGAGGACCAAATGGCTGTGGAGAAGCTCTCCGATGGGATCCGAAAGTTTGCTGCTGATGCCATAAAGTTAGAACGGATGCTCACGGTGAGTTTTTGTGTGGGCAGCATTGGGCCTTTTCTCCTTCATCCAGTGGCAAAGTTGGTGCAGTTGAAACTCACTGCAGGAGCTTGGCATGGTAGCACACACCTATAATTCCATTATTCTGGAGAATGAGGCAAGAGGATCACAAATTCATTAGCCTGAGCTAGGAATGCTAGTACACGCCTTTAGTCCAAGCACTTAAGAAACAAAGACTATCTCAAGAAACAAAACTAGGGCCTTGCAGTAATGGTGCATGCCTTCAGTCCTAGCACTCTGGAGTCAGACGCAGGCAGATCTCTGAGTTCCAGGCCAGCCTGATCTACAGAGCAAGTTCCAGAACAGCCAAGGCTATATAGAGAGAAATTTAAAAGAAAAAAAAAAAAAAAAAACTATACGTACAGGGAGGGGGGTTTCCTTGGGAGACCATGGGTCCCAGCTATACTGGGACCTTGGTGGGTCTTGTCTGGGGCTTTCCAGGCAGAGTGAGGGGCTGGCAAAATAAGGGACTAACATGACTCTACCTCTGGTCATTTCCAGGAACGAATGTTCAGCGCTGAGAATGGAAAGTAGCACAGTGCCTGAGGCTGGACCCCAGACCTGCACTGCCTTTGAGCTGGCTCCTAATTGCACATGGCTTGTGATGAATCTTGCATTTTTTAGTGATTGGAGAGGGATGAATCATAGGTTTCTGATTTTATGTGAAATTTTGTCTAATTCATTAAAGCAGTCGCTTTTCCTATGTTGTTTCATTTCACCGTCTTTGTCACCATCTACCCCCAGAATTAGCTGTGACTGAAGTTGAGACGTGGTTATGAACCCTGGCTATCAGCCTGATCCAGGCAATTGTGGCCCTCACCCTCATCTTGTAAAGCCCTACTCGACCACAACTGGGACATGAGATGGCAGTGGTCTTTGGCTTTTGGTGGTGAGACTATCCAATAACTCCCTCTGTACCTGGTGTCCCTGTCCCCTGCCTAGTCTTATAGGGTGCACTAGCAGTTTGGAAGACAAGTTGCCCCTCTGTTAGGGGCGGGGCAACTGCTGAACATAGTGCTCCAGAGCCAGGCCTGCCCACTGCCCAAGAGAATAAGTCCAGCAGTTTATTTCTCCCATCTAGGTGCTCTGCCTGGTATTGTAGCCAGGTTCTAAAGAACAGTGGCACCACCTTAGGGGTACAGCACAGTATATGACACCAGCTTTGGAAGAGCATGAAAGCACATGCCTATAATACAGTACCTGTAGGGCAGCAACCAGACTGTCCACATCTGAGGACATCCTGGTCTATTTAGTAGGTTCTGGGCCTACATAGAAACCCTGTCTTTAAAATGAAAGCCTGGCAACAGTAGCCTATGCTTTTAATCCTAGCACTCAAGAGGCAGAGGCAGGTGGAAACTCTGGTGAAAAAAACCCCCATGGAGGGCCGGGGAGATGGCTCATCGGTTAAGAGCACTGTCTGTTCTTCCAGAGGACCCAGGTTCAGCACCTACATGACAGCTCACAACAGTCTGTAACTCCAGTTCCAGGGGATCTGACACCCTCAATACATGCAGGCAAAAACACCAATGCACATGAAAAAAAAATATATTTTTTTTTACAAAAAGAAAGACACGCAGGCTGTTGACTTCCTGATCAGTGAAAAAATATATTTTTTTTTTTTACAAAAAGAAAGACACGCAGGCTGTTGACTTCCTGATCAGTGTTTTAGGGGGGAAAAAAAAAAAAAAACCATGGAATCCTACTAAGAAGGATCATAGAGCAACTTCGCAGGCCTGTTCCCCCAAATTCCCACCATAAGTGGCTCTAGAGCTAAGTACCTGCCTGGGCAGTCTAGCCCCATCCTGGATGGTCAAGTGGGGAGCAGCTTCAACCTATCACAGCTAGGCTCACACTTTCCCTGATGAATACTCACAAATATTTTACCACTTCCAGTCAGGGTGACAGCCTGTGGGAACAATGCTGCTTGAGGCTGACTTGCTTCAGCATATAGACAGCCTTGTGCCCATACCACCCAACCTTCACCCTTTGGGCTAGCAATAGTGTGTCCTGAAAGGATATCAGGGCTTTGAGTCTTTCCAACCTGTGGACTCCAGGGATACTGGCCAGGCATTATGTATGCTGTGTGGACCTCTGTTTTGTGTTTTATGAGATGGAGTCTCTGTACATAGCCTGGCTGTCTTATAACTCACTATGTAGAGCAGGCTGCCTCTGCTGGTGTTAAAGGTTGCCACCACATACAGCTTTGTATCAGAATTTATGGCCAAATACTTGACAGAACCTGTGATATTCCATCGTAAAGAAACCGCTAGCTGGGTGAGGTGACAAACACCTTTAATCCCAGGCCTCAAAGTTTCATTTCTCTTGAGTAATTATAAATGTGCCACTTTCCCAGGGTTTTGTTCATTCTCTCTTCTCCAGCCTGCTGTCCTCTTCTCCACATAGGACAGGGCAGTGGGAAGACACTTTGGAGCTCAGGCCTGACACAATTAGGCCTGACACCTCACCTATTATAGCTGTGTGATGCCTCAGTATAGAATACAGGCAGTAGTGACATATGCCTTTAATCGAAGCAGAGGTTAAGCCAGAGCTACACAGAGAAACCCTGTCTAGAGAGAGAGAGAGAGAGAGAGAGACAGAGAGAGAGAGATCCCAGGCAGTGGTGGCACAGGTCTGTAATCACAGCACTTGGGAGATAGAGGCAGGTGGATCTCTGTGAATTCCAGGCCAGCCTGGTCTACAGAGTGAGTTCCATGACAGGTTCCAAAGCTACAGAGAAACCCTGTCTCAAAAAAACAAAACAGAGAGGGAGAGGGAGAGAAACATGAAGCTCATGTAGAGCCAGCCAATCAGAAACTTTCAAGCCCCATCAGCAAAAGCTGTGCCCTAATTCATGCTAAGAGCTCATCTTTGAGGTGATGGTGTTAAATGGGACTTTGGCTTCATGAAGCAATCAGTGACCTCTAAAGAGGTTTCAGAGAGCACCTAACCCTTCCCATCAGGTAAGAAGCAAAGAGGTCTGAGCCAGGAAGCTCTTACCAGGCACACCTGCCACACTATAACCTTGGATTTGAAGCTTCAAGATGTGAGTGAAATGTATTTGTTGTTTACAGACCATCTAGCCTGTGCCTGAACCAGCCAAGCCTTGGGCGCCAAGCCTCAGATTTTGAAGGTTTTGTCCAGGAGTATCCATCATTGCATAGTCATAGTGCACATGGCAGATGTCAGCATTGCAAGGCCAGGGAGGAATCCAGGGGCAGGTGGGCTCTCCTGCTTCTTTCTTCCACTTGGTTCTGGAATTCCCTCATTAAAGATTATTAACCACCAAAAGGTATTTCTCCAGGTCTCTGACACTAGCGCTATTCTGGAGCTTGGGATGTGCAAAAGTTAAGTGGAGATGGAAGTTGAGAGGTCCAAGTTATCTGTTAGGTTCTATTCCAGGGCTAGAAGGCTGCTCACTGGAGGCTACAGTCCAGGCCAGGTGCCCCAGGATTGACAGAAAACAAGCATGTCCACACAGCCACATCAGGTCCTCAGCTAAAGCCTGTCCAGGGTCTGGGAGACAGGACTCATGGCTATTCCTATTCCATAGTGAAAGGCTCAGGCACATAGAACCCAAGCCTATCTGTAGCCATTCCTTCCAGGAGTAGATGAAATAAAGACCTGGGCTGAGAGGCTTTTGTAAGCTAGAGGCCATTGGACAGACTGTGGAGTAACAGCAGTCTAAGGATCTCAAGGTGTGACACTAATATTTTTTCCATGCCAGATGAGGCAGGGTAACATTACTGTGTCCACTCCAAGGGCCCAGGACCATGCCAGGCTGAGCTGGGGCCTCTATTGCATTAAAAACCACAGGCCAGCAAGGGCAGATTTCTTCAGCAAGAATGCTGCCTGCTTAGACCTTTGGCAAGATGAATTCAGAGCAAGCACCAGTCAGTCAGTCCCTTCCCCAGGGTTCCTACCAACAACTAAAGGGATGGGAACAGCCAAAGGGCCATGGAAGAGCAACACCCCATCCTAAGACCCCACAGCTGACTATCTCCCATGGATGATTCTTCTTGGAATGTTCAATTTGCAGTTCTCAGGGACTGCCTGACCAGCCAAGATGCTCCACACTATGGGCTGGGAATGGAGGGAGGGGTTTCAGTCTACATTAGAACTGATACTCTACAAGTCTTAACTCCTGGAAGCCTCCAGGATTCCACAAAGTCCAGATGGAGGCTTGAGAGCCCTGTCAAGTAAGGGCCAACAGAAGAAGCCACAGTGAGTTCAGCTGTTGTCTCTAGGCCACCAGGATCAGGGACAGCATCCAAGTTACTTCCTATAGGATGAACACAGGGTCCAGACTCAGTACCAGCAGGCAGAGAATCGAAGACAAAACTGCCCAGCAGAGGGAGCCAGTCACAAAGCAGAATCCACCCAATCCCTTCTCAGGAGCCTCACCGGCTGCCACAGAGGAAGAGCAGGTTCTGGACAGCAGGAACAGTAGAGTTTGTATTCTGGCCAGTGACCAGGTGGCGGTCCAGCACCACATGCACAGCATCCGGCTCACTGGCTAAGACAGAAAGCACAAGCCTTAGGCCCACAAGGCCTAGACCCTGTCCCAGTCCCACCCACCGAGGAGCTGTGAACACCAGGGGGCAGTAGGAAAGCCAGTCTGGGTGAACCATTCACCACAGGGGTATATGCAGGACCTAAGATACCAACCCAAGACACAGCAGGGAGCCCCACAAATCTAAGTGTAAGACACCAACTTGGGCTCACCACTGAAGCCAGCACCAGAGTCCTTCACAAAGTCCTCAACAACCAGCGGCAGGCAGGCAAAGTCAGGTGCCCTGATGAGCTCGTACACAGAAGGCTGAAAGGGCAGGGCCTGAGTCAGACGAGCTAGTGGCTCTACCTTGCCCAGTGTCCTACTGTCCCCAAGACCAACCCCAGGGATCAGGCAGGTCAAATCAAAGCAGGAGCCGAAGCTACCACATGCGGAAGATGGACAAAGGCAAAACTCAGTCATCTTTTGAAGACTAAGCCACTATAGCTTAATGTGCCTTGCTCCCTCAGCATCAAGGCGTAGGTGTGACCAAAATGAGATGGACTGGTATTCTCTGGAAGGAGTCCCTTTGTGGGTTCCATGATGTTCACATGAGGGGCTGAGGCTCACCCCCGAGGGTCCCAGGCTCTGCTTGACCTCTTACACTTAGTATATACATCACATGCACAAGGAGAGAACTGCTCTAGCAGTATGGGGACACAGTGCCTAAAGGAATCTCTTCCTGGTTCAAGTAGGGGTAAGAAGATAGGATGGAATGGGACACTGGCTTGTCCATGAAAATACTCACCCCTGTCAGACTGTAGCCTTGGAACACCCAGGACCTGTCTTCATTGGTAGCACAGCACAGGGCAGCAACACCATGGCCAATGGCACAAATGGGTTCTAAAAGTAGTAAGGTACTCTGAGGCACTGGATGCTATCCTGGATAGGGTCCCCTCCCAATTGTCCCATCCTGCAAGGTGGATGCTTCAAGACTAGAGTTTACTTAGAGCCCATGCTGCCTCGGTTTTAAGACACGTGCAAGCATATAGAACTTCCAGTCCATGTACCAGCCACTGCTTGCTTCAAACTGCAGAGAAGCCACTGTGCATCTGGGGGTGGTACTCCCAGGGGTATCCTGCCCTGCAATGGGGCAACCCTGGCTCCTCCCCAAAGGCAACTTAATGGCCAGTGTATTCCCATGGCTGAGGTAGCTGGAAACAATTGCTTCTTGTCTCAGCCCAGAAGGCCAGCTCTCATCAACAAAGGACATTGCATAAAGCCTGTCTGCATTCTGGTCTCTGATGAGCATCCTGCCCCAGCCTACAGATGTTGCCGATTCCCACCAGGAATCCAGACAGCATCCTGATTAACCTACCATGGAAAGGGCTAACAGGCCATGGTCATCAGCCCTCTCTTGGCCTTCAGAGGCTCACAGTGCAGAGACTAACAGCACACACATTATGTCTAGTGAGATCACTCTTGTGCACATGGACACAGAGCAAACTTACCTGTGTGCTGGTCAGTGCCACTGCAGCTCTCCAGTCCCATCTGATGGGCTGATGAGATCACCAGGCACGCCCAGTCCTGAATCCTAAACCCTGCACTCAATATCCACTATCTATCTGCCTTCCAAACCTAGTCTCTAGTTCCCTGACACCCACTGTTTTCGTCATCCCCTCCTACTCTCCACACAGGCATCTGCCTGCTAGCCTGTTCGCCAGTTTCTTGTCACCCACTGCTCTCTGAGCGGAAGTGCTGCAGTATCCGAGCCAGGGACCCACTGCTGGCAAGGTCAGTCAGGGCACCAGGACAGCTGGGAATCAGGAGAGCATGGTACCGGGCACCTAGGGGGAAGCCACAGGTCAAATAAGGGCACGGCCAGACACAGAGGCCCTCCACAGGGACCCACTAGCTAGAAGTTACCACCTGTCACTTTCCCAACCTACCATCTATGGACTCAAGCTTAGCAGGGCTGGCATAAGCCTTGAGGCGGAAGTCTTGTACCCAACGTGCATTGTTCTCAGTCACGTCCACAAAGTCCATGGCCTTTCCCTATAGAAGCAGAGCCTAGGTGAAGGGTCAGCAGCAGGTTCTTCCCCCACATCTGAAAATCAGATTTCAAAACATCCCTTGGGGCACAAATACCCGCCCAGACAGTGACTTTCACTGGCTGGCTCAGGCAGGGAGCATCTAGTGGCTACAGAGAGAGAAAAATCAAGTACAAGGCAGTCCCAGAGAACCAAACCACCAGTGTACAGGAGCCCAGTACAACACAATGCTGAGGTCTTACCATAGGATTACTATGCCCATGGTCCCCAGTCTCCTAATTATAAAGTAGCAACAACTGTCCCACCCACCTGGTGACTTCAAAACATGCAAATATACAACACTTCTCTGTGACCCATTTATATCTGGTGTTCCCAGGATCACAATGCAAGAATCAAGAATCTCTCCTGTAACATCTCCTTACAGCCATCTCACTTCCTGTTTCTGCCCAGCCATCTTACTTTCTGTTTCCACCCAGCCATCTCACTTCCTGTCTGTCTGTAAAGACCTCCTGACCTTTATGGTTAGCTAGTGGCAAGCTCCATCCTCTGATCTTCAGACAAGCTTTATTTGTACAAGCAAAATACCACCACACTCTCCTGTTAGGAGGATCTGTACAGGACCTGCATGCACACGTGGACCAAATCTTACCTTTTACTTATAGACCTGCAAAAGTGCAAGCCACAATGAAAAGAGCCCCATTAACACAGGTAGTCATAGTCCAGGGAGTTGGGACGTTGACTTAAGGATCCCACCAAGTTTGATTGTAGATCCTCTTACCTGGAGGAGTAAGTTCCCTCCTGGCCCTATCAATTACAGAGGGCTTTCTATACTCTCCTATCCTCACCCAAAAGACGAGAGGCTCCGAGGGGTTCCCTGGGGAAGAATGACTATACTCACCCCAGGGGTGGCCACCTGTAGGTTGAAGGCAGCACTGGCCAGTGTGAAGCAGTGGAAGAAGGACTGGGCTGACACACCTGTAAGACAGGGTTTCAAAAAGGCAAAGGCATGACAGGGCCAGCTGGCCCGTCACTATTCCCTGGAGACTGCCTCAATGCTCCTGGGGACTATCCTGGTCCCAGAAGCAGCCTTAGGAGCAGTCCAATTTACCCACCCCAGGGTCTACACCCAGGGGCAGGACAGCAGCATTTCAGGTTCCGAAATATGTAACTGAGATGTCCACAGCAGGTCTATTACTTGGCCAGTTTTGGCCTCTGGTCCCAGAAAGACCTGCAAGGGCTCCGGTGGTTCTGCAGCCTCCCAGAATAGGCCCTCTGCTTGAGCTAATACCTCTACCTTCAGACCTCCAGCCCACCTTAACTGTCTGCCAGCAGCCCTACAGCCTTAGCTGGATCCCACCCTTTCCCACTACAGGTACTTCCAAAGGCAAACATTCGGGTCATCCCCTACAGAACCACCAGTATCCAAGGTCCCCATAGCCTGGGGAAAGCAACGGTCAACATGTCATAGAAGTAAAAGTAGCAGCAGAGCATGGTGTTTGGGGCACTTCCCACACCCAGGACACCTAGAGGGTCCCATCGTCCTAAGAGTGTAAGATTCTGCCCCCATCATGCTGTTCTCAGCACTCTTCTGCCCATCAAGAATACTTCAAAAAGGAACAGTTTGCCTAGCTCATTTGACTCCAGAACCCAGGTGAGCACACCTTTAATACCAGCACCTGGGAGGCAGAAGCAGGGAGATCTCTGGCCAGACTGGTCTACAGAATGAGTTCTAGGGCATCCACAACCACACACACACACACACACACACACACTTCTGTCTCGAAAAATAAGATTAAAGACGATTTATGGGTACAGCCTAGCCTCCCCTCAACTAGGGAGTAGAGACTCATATCACATTCTCAAGTGCAGTGACCTGTGCTGGTTTAATCTAAGGGCACAACCCTTTAGCTTCATCATTCCTTCTCTCTCTGTCTCTGTCTCTTGCAGCTTTTTTTTTTTTCCTTCAAGGCAGGGTTTTTCTGTGTAGCCCTGGCTTTCCTGGAACTAGCTCTTGCCTCCAACTCACAAATATCGGCCTGCCTCTGTCTCCTGAGTGCTGGGGTGAAAGCCGTGGGCCACCACCACCTGGCCTTTCCTTCTCTTTTTGAGACAGCTTCTCATGTAGCCATTAACCTGCCTCCAACTCCTACACTAGGCTTTTGGTTTGTGGGTTTTGTTTTGGTTTAGTTTAGTTTTTGAGTCAGGATCTCACTATGTAGCCCTTCTGGACTGGAACTTACTATATGAGTTCCAGACTGGCCTCAAACTCCCAGAGATCCATCTGTCTCTGCCTCCTGAGTGCTGGGAATAAAGACACTCACCACCAATAGGTCCAGCTTCTTTACTTTTATGACTTAATACATTTTCAGTGACCGAACCCAGATATAGCTTCTTTACTTTTATGACTTAATACATTTTCAGTGACCGAACCCAGATTATCTCTACCAGCTCCTCAATCCCTCACTTCCAAACTCTCAAGTAAGGCCTACTACCTAGGAGCAGGTGTAGATTCTCCCAACTCTCTCTTCCAGGGTGGAGCAGCACCCTCAGGCCCCCTCCCATCTCCACCTGGACGCTTCTCTGGAATCCAGAGGTTCATCAGTCCAAGTGCCGCTGTACCCTCACGCTCATGCATGCTTGAGATGCTATATGTAGTTCGGTTCGCGAGGGAAAGCCCGCAATGACTATCTTGGGCCAGACAATTCCCTAAAGACCCGTGAAGTAATCATCTGTCCCAGACACACACCGAACAGTTAGAACCCATGCGCCGCAGACCCGCTTCTGTGTGCCGGTCCCCTCTGTGTAGCTCTTTCGAGCAACCCCTTTCAGGATCGTGAAGATAGGCCCAGGATCAGGGACAGGGAGGCAGTAATGGTGGACAGAGTACTGAGGCCCCCTGTGGCTGATCTGGGAACAGGGTCATCTCTGCAGTCGCTGGCCACCCTGCCTGCTGGCTCAGACAACACAGGCCTGCCCTGGGGAAACAGGTGCAGGGTACCAGGATCCCAACCCCGCAGGTACAAACATTGACCTGGAGTCAGAACGGCAGGCCACTGCGCCACACAGCTGCCCTGCGCGCCTCACCTGCGGAAGCGCCGCTGGCCACCAGGAGACAGGCAGGCGTGTGGGGCAGCCGCTCCGACGCCATGGCTGCAGACCCGGCTAATGCTAGGGGCTGATGCTAGTGCACTAGGGGCGGGGCGGGGTAAGCTACGGGGGGGAACCCGGTTGCTGGCGATTGGGACAGACTTGCGCCCCTCAATTGAGCGCAGCGTTACTCAGGGTCCGAGTTGGCCACAGGGCTACCGCGCCTTGGGCATCTGCCCGCAAGTTGAGCCCCGTTAGACTGTCTGGGAGCGAAGACGGGTCAGGCCGACTGGATGAGGGGCAGCGCATCCAGTGGTTCGCATGTGGGCGGGTCTTCCTCTGCGTGTTTGGGAAGTTCCCACGAACGACTGGGTCCCTGGACTTTTGAATGAACCTGGGGAGATTGTAAAGTCACTCCCTGAGCTGGGGACGCCTCCGGGACTTGATGTTGACTTTCCTGAGGAAAGGCCAGATGGTCTGGGGAGACCAACCTGTATCTAAAGCGATTGTTCCTTATGTTGTACCTAGTGGGGCCTAGTAGGAAAAGGAGCCTGGAGCCCAGGTTCCTGTGCTGTCTGGGTGGTGATGTTTGAGGATTCACAGGCCAGAAGTCAGACCCCAAGGTGGACCTAGCCTCAAGGTAAGCCTTGTGGATCTGTAGACTGCCCCACCCCTAAAAACCCATCTGTTGACGTAAAGCCCATGAAGGGACCAGATTGCAGATGGCCAAAGGTCCACATACTCACAGCTCACCTTTGTGCTGTCCCCAAAGCAATCTTAATGGCAGAGCCAGCAATCGGCTTGAGTCTTGAGGAGGAAAGAATTTAATTCAACTCCCAGATGTTAGAAGTAAGTTTCGGGGGATAAATAAAGATACCACCATTCCAACTGAAGTGTCTGGACGGGGCAAATTTTACTCTTGACCAGGAGAGTGTGCTCTAGGAAAGAGTGAACACATCAGGGCAGGAAGTGCTTTGGTTTCTATTCTAACTCAGGTGTTGGCTGTGCCTTTTCCCTGTTGGCTGGGGTTCCACCTCACAGTATTCAATTGGCTTGTCTAAAAAGAACCACAAGAAGTGGAGGAAGGTGAAAGGAAGGGGGTCCCTGACTGAAGGAGAACACCTTTCCAAGCCATCAAATTCCTAGAACAGCTGGGGCTGTTACATAGAGAAACCCTGTCTCAAAAAACCAAAAAAAAGAAAAGAAAAATTGAATTTCTCATTGATAGAAAAGATTAATATTTGATATTTCTTACAGATTACAGTGCTGGGAAGTCAGGGCAGGAGCTGAAGTAGAGACTGAAGGAACACTTACTGCTGCTTTTCTTACAGCTGGCCAGAAAAGGCAGCTCACACATTGGGCTAAGCCTCTCTCCCTGAATCAATGAGCAATCAAGAAATGCCCCACAGACATGCCCACAGGCTAATCCATACAAGCAATTCCTCAACTGAGGTTCCCTCTTTTGAAGTATGTCAAGTTGACAACTGAAGCTAACTATGACACTTCACTGTCTACTCATACCCCCAGCTTGCCTCCTTGAACACTAGAACTTGTTAAGCCATCGCCTGGTTCTAAGTGAGAGATGGAGGAGGAAGTGGAGGCTCCAAATCTGGCCTTACTGTTCAGTGTGTCCAAGGGTTGGTGGTCTATGCCATGCCTGACAGATGATTCAGCATGGCTAGGACATACCTAAGTAAGTCTATGACCTGTGTCCAGAGTGGTATGTTTGTGAGTGAGCAGAGTGTCTGGTTTCCAGAGGCACCTGTGAGAAGGCTCAGGATCCCCTGTAATCAGCATTCAGGCTTAAACAGGCAGATGAAACAGATCTGAGCAGTGCTTGGCTAGGCGCCGTGTTCTGGATCTGACATTCCTAGACCATTTCCTTTAGTCTCCTGTGATCAGTGGGAAGGATTTTCGGTCCTAACACATTGCCTGGGGTCAGGCCCTCATGTGGAGTTTCCTGCCAAAATGGCCTGTTGCTGAGCAATGTCCCAGATCCGATGTGCTTAGGTAGGTATACTGGTACATTTGCCCCCAGGGCTTTCTGGCTACAGTGACCAGGCCCTGCCCCTCCACCCAGTAGCATCCTTCAGGGCTGACATCTGAATCTGAACACCTAACAAGATCAGGGCTACTGTGGGGAGTATTGGACAGGTTTTGTCACTTGAGACAGAGCACTGGAGGCTCCAGGGTGTCCTTGGGCAAGACCCATGACCTCATCATGAGGGAGGATCAGTGCCCCATCCTGCCCTGTGGCGCTTTCAGTCTCTTTCATGGTCACATCAAAGGTCCTGACTGTGAGGCTTACATACCTAAGTCCTGGACATGGTCTGCTAGGACATCATATCCATCAGCAAGTGCCCCCATGTGGTGAAGGCAGTGGAGGGTCGAGGACTACATTCATAGGGTCTGTTTGTGTATAGAACTCCTGAGCCATAGGAACTCTTGATATTGGCGGCAAGTTGGGCATCAAGAAAGAGCCACTCCTTTAACTGGCACTCAGGAGGCAAAGGCAGGTGGATCTCTGAGTTTGAGGCCAGCCTGGTCTACATAGTGAGTTCCAGAACATTCAGAGCTATGTAGTGAGACCCTATCTTGAAAAGAAAGAAAGAAAGGAAGGAAGAAAGAAAGAAAGAAAGCCACTCATTTCTTTCTCATTTCCAGAACCTGCTTCTGTTGGAATGTAACGGTAGGTGAGAAGTCCTAGGAGACCCTGCTGGGCTGACCTGTGCTGCAAGTCCTGCCTCCTGTCACTCCTGCCCTAGGCCTTTTCCTGGCCTCTGCACATTGAGAGCTCTTTTCTGTCAACCTCCCAACCATCTCTTAGCCTGGGGCACCTGCTGCAGCATCTGCTAAGTACTACCCTTGTGAGAACACCCTTACATGGGTATTGCCCTGGGTGCCTCTCTGTTAGTTCAGGTGACCATCAAGTGTGCCTTCAAATGAGGACTAAGTGTTCAGAGGCATAAAGTTCTCTTGGGATTGAGGGACAATCCTGACCATGTAAACACTCTTCAGGGTGGAGGGTTGGAAGCTGCCTAGAGATGAAAGGTAGCCCTCAAGTAGCCTTCAAGACTCAGATGAAGCTGAGTGATGGTGGCACGCCTTTAATCCCAGCACTTAGGAGGCAGAGGTAGGATCTATGAATTTGAGGCCAGCCTGGTCTACAGAGCAAGTTCCAGGACAGCCAGGGCTACACAGAGAAGCCCTGTCTCAAAAACAAAAGACCCAGATGAAACCCTTTCCCCATTAGAGCTCAGGTGGGGCCCTCCTGGGCCACGTCTAGAGCCTCCAAGGTAAGTCATGCAAAGCTATACAAAGCAAGCAGCACACAGCCAGTGACAGCCTTGCTGTCATGTATGGACTTCTGAAGGTTCCTTCACCTAAGGTGGGCCTCTGCAGTGTTGGTGAGACTGCTAAGGCAGCTTGCTGTCCAGAAGGTGTCTAGCCTGTGGGTAGGTGATGACTTTATGTCCCTAAGTAGGGTGATATGGCCTAGAAGCAGGTACAGAGGGTCCCTGTGAGTAACAAGGAAGGGGTAGCAGATCCAGGGCAGGTCTAAGATCTTTACTCAGACACCCAGCGATCCATGGGCTACATAGTGAGTTCCAGAACTCACTATGAGTGGGCAGGGGAGAAAACTTAGCATAGTTGTATCCCTCTCATTGAGTAGCTTATCCAGCCTGGAGACATGAGCCACCTCGTCTGCCCTCTGGGGTTTGACTGCACTGTGTCCTCTTTCCTTCTTGGAATTGTTAGTCAAACAAATAAAATCAGTCACTGTGAAGCAGCAAAGAAGATTCTGTTCTTGGCCAAAGAATAAAAGAAACTTGAATATAGCTCAAATCCACTTCTCAACTGTGGCAGCTGGAAGTCATAGATGTGGCTCAGACTATGGTGGAATTGGGGGAGGGGGGTACCTAAGCATGGGTAGAGATGCCTCTTCCCTTATCCTGCTGTTCTCTGTTTCTCTCTCTCTCTCTCTCTCTCTCTCTCTCTCTCTCTCTCTCTCTCTCTTAGCCTAGACTGAGTACTAGGTTTGGGATTACTGGTGAGAATTTCCTAAGAATTAGGTGTTCTTCTCTGACATACTTTTCCAGAAATTGTCATGGTGCTTGTCATGTGTTGTGGCATCAAAGGCTGGGGCCTTTACTGAGGATATACAGAGCATTTAGATGGGAAGGAGCTTAAGGTAGACGGCTAGCTATTTTATCTCCTGCTATTCCTGAGGGTTGAGTGGGCAGCTGGCCAATTTCCTTATTTCTAGGATGCAGAAAAACACCAACAAGCAGGTGCTTATTTGTTATGAGACTGGCTAAGAACTTGCCATATAACCTTGAACTCTTGGTTGTTGTTGCTGTTATTTTGTTTATAGTTTTCAAGACAGGATTTCTCTGTGTAGCTTGGGCTTTCCTGGAACTCACTACCTTAGACCAGGCTGGCCTTGAACTCAGAAATCTACCTGCTTCTGCCTCCCACATGCTGGGATCGAAGATGTGCTCTGCTAACCTTGAACTCTTGATCCTGCTGATTGTTAGACTTCCTTGCAGAACAGGCCAGAGCCAAAGGTGGGTGAGGCCACATCTTGACCAGTACTGCTTAGTTATGTATATCTCTTGCCCTCTAAACCTAAACCTCTTGCTGGGACCCCAAAGATAGACCTGAACACTATTGTTTCCATCCTCATTGAATAAATCTCATTTTCACTACTTGTTTCTTTTTTGTTTGGTTTTGAGACAGGGTATCACTGTGTAGCCTTGGCTTTTCTGGAACTCTGGAACCAGACTGACCTCAAACTTACAGAGATCTACCTGCCTCTGTGTGTGTGTGTGTGTGTGTGTGGTTTGCAAGTGCTGAATGCTGGGGCTGTTTGGGATGTTTTTATTTTTATATGCATTGGTGTTTTGTCTGAACGTATATCTGTGTGAGGATGTCAGATCCTCTGGAACTGGAATTACAGAC